ACTGGGGTGGGTCTGTCGGCGTCAGGGTTTTCTCGATAATTCCAAAAGTCGCATTATTTCTGATTTCCCATTATCGCTCTTATTTTCACCCCTACTTCCTCGCAGTGCCTCTGGTGGGGAGGCGCATACCCATCTCTCCCGGTCTCTCGTATGTCAGGTGACCGTTTTCGACCAATGGGTCTTGGTCGAGCGTCCTTTCTCCTCTTTCTCGCATATCACGTGACCGCTTTCGGCTAATGAGATTCTGGTTGGGCGTCTCCCGTACATCGTGACGTCTCCAATCGGGCGTGGCTTATCCCGTCTTTGTTCTGGGAAAGAACACCTTGCTAAAAAAAACAAAATCTAATTTGGCCTTTTTCGCACGCACGAAAAATGACAATCTCGGCCTTTCTCACCTTTCTGGTTTCTGTCAAAACAGCCCGCCGCTAATTAGATGTGACTTCAGGAAGAATTTTTTCGTCTCGCTGGCGCTTTCTGTGAGCCAAAAACAATTGTTTTCACCTCTTTGTTTTTGCTCAGACCTGATAGTCAAAAATCTTAATTATCTGAATTGAAAATGTCTTCACTTCATCATCGTGGGGGTTCTAATTTTTAACAGGTCAGAATCTGTATACAATTCCAGCGGTCACCTTCTCATCCCAAAAGACACCCTTCTCCGATTAATATTTCGTTTTCCATTGTTCTAAAAATCCCATTTCCCCAAATTGATAATGAGTCTTCTACACAAAAGTAGGCCAGATGCTTTGACCGACATTTTTATCAATCGTACATATGTTCATACACTTTTACCAAGTCTGTTTTCTTTCTTTCTTTTAATTATCTTTAATTCTATTCTTCCAAATAACAATTTCCATTGTCCTTTGAAATTCGGTCAGGCGCGTTGGCCTAGATACCTCTTGACACCTGTTTTCGCTAATGACCGGCCTTTTGCATTACTCATCCTCTCCCTTTCTTTTCCTCTTTCTCTTTTTCTTTTTCCCTTCTTTTTTTCTTCCCTTAGGATCGCCTAAGTACAATTAGAGAATTATTCTCGAAACTCAATTATTCTTCGCCTAAAAAAACTAACAACTGGTTAATAAACCGAATAAAAAAATTAAATCATATTTCTATGAATATTTCTTTTTTTTTAGTTTTTCTAATAATGCAGGGTGCCACACTGTCACTAAAATCTAAAAGGTCATCACAAATCGCAGAGATGATGGCTAAGGCGCTTGCTGGAGAGCAATAATGTAAGACATTGGTAATTATTTCCATCCAAATAAGGTACAACAATGGTTCTATGTTAAATAAAACTATATTTAGTAAATACAACTAGCGACCGAACGTTTCTCTAATTTTGGCCATCAAGTGGTATTTCTGCATTTCTTACCGACACCTACTGTAAAATCTACAAAGTTTGATTTAAAGTTTTGGCATCACTTCCCTTCAATTAATTCAACTCACTTATCGAACATCGTATTAACATTGCAAGAGCAATATATATATATATCTACAGGGAGTCCATAAAGTCCGTGTGCACTTTATTTGTATTTGAAATAATCTGTTAAAAATGTTATAAAATTTAATGTACCTAACTAAAATATAGTATAGCTAAAATAACTAATGTGATTTCAGCCATTACTGTAAATCACTTGACAAATGTTTTCCGTGGACTGCAAAATCGTATTACCCTTTGTATTGCTAATGATGGGGGACATGTGGAAACTTAAATAAATTTCAGTAAAATCTTAAAAGATATAGATTTTCTTCTTTCTAATCCCTTTTAGAAATTATTTCCATCGCAAATACAAATAAAGTTATAATTTTTTAAAGTGCACACGAACTTAATGGACACGCTATATATATATATATATATATATATATATATATATATATATATATATATCCATGGATGACAAAGATGTCCCCAAAGTATTCTGCCTTTACTATGGACCTCAGCGTGTAGCGATCAATTCCCCGCTTGAGTGCAATAGGCGGCGGGTATAGTCTCGGTGGACGGATCTTTCATAATTACCAGAAGGTAAAGTCATCCAGTTTTGACAGATAAAAATATTATTAAAAAAATAAGCATATTTAGTGTTCCCAAATTTTGACATTAACATCAAACGAAGGACATGTAAGCAGTAATTTCTTTCCTTACAAAGTGCACGATTTTCGTGACTAAAATGAACTTGGTAAATAGCGTCATTTATTAAGCTTAGTACGACAGAAATACACAAGTGGAATACAGTTTGGAGGGATCGAATACATACCAATAATAACAATGTTTGAAACTAGTTTGTTAACCATATTACACTTGCAAAAAACCAGTTCTTTATTATAATATCATAAACAAAACCAGTTCTTTATTATAATATCATAATCTGGTATAAGAATACAAGTTTACATTACTGAATGAGATCTGAACAACAGAGATGGGTTTGCTAATCCCTACGCCACGCCGAGGATATGCTAATTGTAATAAATATTAATCTAATATGGTGAAACATTTGCGAAAATAACAATATTTACACCAAAGATTGAGAAAATGATGTGTTGGAAACGAGAATATATTCGGATTTGATATTTCTGGTTAATAATTAAGAAATTCTCATGCAACAAATTAAATATTGCAGAACACCACAGATCTTGAGAAAATCTGAAGAGTACATGGCCGAATAGTTGTGAAGGTTAAACACACGGAAATCAATCTGGGGTATATATATATATATATATATATATATATATATATATATATATATATATATAGGCAGTAAGTATATTCATCCCAACATTTTTTAATAAATTCGGCAAGGTCTGTCTGTTTTTTACACTATTTACAATGTTCTGGCTGTTGTCCTCATCTTTATTGTCACATTCGTCCGTTGTAACCTCCGGCTTTCTTCAGGTGATACACATTAGAATTTAGTCCACTGGGGTAGATTGTTCAGTTGCTCTAGTTCCACGAGCCATACCCCTTTTCTGGATATCCCAGTTTCAGTTATTTTTACCTTAGTAATTCAACTCTCCAAGATTTTTTGTTCGTCTCTTCTGTGGTCAGGTACTGAACTCTTTGGATCAACTCACTAAACAAAAATCCTTTATCTGATTGATGTTACCTTTAGCATCCCGACTCCAGAGTTTCGTAGGCGGACTCGTCCAACCACTCCTCAGGGAATATTAGCAATTGACTGCTTATATTTCGACTGTGCCGATGTGTGTTCACGCGTGTGCGCCCGTCTGCGCAGATGTCTGTACGTGTAGCGTATCGTGATCATATTTTCTTTGCTTCGTTTTTCACCTTTATGCTCACTCATTAGCCTTTATATTTATTTCTTTTCTTATTTTCTATCAATTGTAGACATTTGTGCGTAATTATTATGTTTTCTAAACATGTCACTGTTTGAACTTTTCATTTTTGAGCGTTCCAGTCTTTGATCTAGGAAAGTTGTATTTCGTATTTTTTTACATAAATAATTGATATTAATGCTTAAATGATATACATGATATATATATATATATATATATATATATATATATATATATATATATATATATATATATATATATCATGACTCTTGACTCTACATTTGAATGATAACTCTAACATTTTTAGGCATTTAAAATAACATGCCTGGTCGTTTACACAATTCCGGAAAATCCTTGTTAAAAACACAACTATACTTAAACATGAAAACAATAAACAAAACTAAAAATTCTTGAAGCTATATACATAAAACAGTTGAAACCCAACCTGAATAAAATAAACTATGAAATCTCCACAAATATTCTTAAATGCCTATAAGTGATAGCAGAAGCCATTGGTTTATAAATTTTAAATTAAATTAAGAGAACTGAAACGAAAGATGAAGCAGTATATACAATTTTATAAATCTGTCCCGTGGCAATTTATCCAGGTTTTGTCAATAAGAAATCGTTTTCATTCTTATATTCCATCTTTATATAATTTTGTGTAAAAAATCATGGGGAATTAGTCACTGGGCAAATTATGACGTCTTCCATAGATAGGAATAGTTTTTGCAGGTATTTCAGACGTTTTGCTGGTAATACCAGTAAAATCAATATTCCTTTGATAGATCAATGAGTAATTTTCTCCCAAAGAATCTGGAAACCATCGACCACTTATTCATCAATCATCTTCGATATTGCTCAGGAGAAGTGATCATTAAATCAACAGCGAATCATTTAATCCACATCACAAATTATATATATCGAAATATATATATATCGATAATGGGTCATTTTCTTGCTTTTTATCTTTTCGCTTTGGTAAAAGGTTCTTGGGGTTAGGCTTTCGGAGAATTTCGATTTTCGATTATGAAAGTTAAGGAATCGTTGAACAGCCGTCCATTTATTGGAGGCCCAGAAACCTGTCGGCGATTTTCCTCTCTATTTTAGGATTTTTATTTTCAATTAAGCGTTAGTTGGGAACCTCAGAAATAACGATTTTACGATCAATAAAATTTGCGATCATAAAATCTTATCATTGGGAACTGAAAAGGACATATCACACGAGAAATTTCTTTGTTCCAGATTTTGTTTCAAAACAATTTGTGCATGGGTATGAGACCATGAATGTCGGGATTCAGTTGACGAGATTATTTCGCGAGAAACTTGTCCTGGGTCTATTTATTTTAGCGACGTGTAGATGAAGTGCACACATGCGACTTGCAGTGATGTTCAATTTCCAAACTGGCTATTCTATTCCGGGACGTTTTCGAAGTACTTTAAGCATGAGAGAAACGAACCAAGCATTGACTATGCGCTTTATTAATATCGACTTTACAATTTGATTATTCCCTGTCTACGCCAAAAAGTTTGATTCTATTTTACGATTAATATCTCCTCTCGAATATTCCCAAGAGAAGGGATATTCTAAAATTGAAACCTTCATTTGTTACCATTTCTCTTTCTCTTTTCTTTAGTTTTTATGTATTCTCTTTATTGCTCTCTTTCTCTTTTATTCTCTCTCACTCTCTTTTGCTCTTTTTTTTTCTTAGCTCTCTTTTATTCGCTCTCCCTCTCTCTCTCTCTTTCTCTCTCTCTCTCTCTTTCTCTCTCTTTCTTTTTCTCTCTCTCACTCTTGCTTTCTTTGTCTTTAACTCTCTTTTATTCTCCCTTTCTCCCTCGCTTTTATTCTCTCTCTCTCGCTTTCTTTTTCGTTAGTTCTCTTTTTATTTTCTCTCTCTGACTTTCTCTCTCGCACTTTTTTTATTCTCTCTCTTGCTCTACTTCTCCCTAGCTCTATTTTTCTCGTCATTGGCACCAGTGAAAATTGCCAACATCTACATCTGTCAGTGTGTGTATATCATAGAAAGTATGAGTATTAGTGGTAATATCTGCAAGCGGTTACATGGATCTATGTATAAGTAGATGTTACTCTCTAAAAAAAAAAAAGTCTTCCACAAATGTCACATGTGTTTACGCAAATCACTTCATGTTTCCGTGCACTTGGTTCATTTTGAAATTACATAAAAATTACATTTTCTAACCGATTTTTTTTCCTGCTATCAATTTTCAAAATCAAAACTCACCGAAAACATTTGTTGTTTTCTTACATTTGATATTAAAACCTCAGCCTGCGAGGATCTTTTTTGTTCATTTTAATCAAAATCAAGAAGAGAACAAGACTGTCCTTTATGAACTCTTCAGGTTAAATATATGTTAATAGCTTCGTTCGTTTTGGTGAGTTTCTATTTTGTATTATCATAAAACTCCCACAGTACCCGTAAAAAATGACTGCTGCATTTATGTGTGGATCAACACTTTTGTTTAGGATCAAAGTAGTATCTGCGCACTCTGTCGAAAATTAAAAGTTCACAACACAGTCTTTTATTTTAGATTTGTGAAGTAGGGATGCACTCACTGAAAAATACTATACACACAATATATTGCGTTTTATATTTGTAAATGCCGATAAGAACAAGATCTAGTGTCGTCTTAGTGATGCTAAGGAAATAAATAAATATAGATCAAATTTGAATCGATATATGATGATATATTTTAATATATAGATAGACTGATAGATAGATATGAATAGACTGGACATAGAATAGATAGATAGATAGATAGATAGATAGATAGATAGATAGATAGATAGATATGAGTAGATTGAGATAGGTATGAACAGATTGAGATAGATGGATAGATAGATATGAATAGATTTAGATAGATAGATAGATAGATAGATAGATAGATAGATAGATAGATAGATATGAGCAGATTGAGATAGATGGATAGATAAATAGATATGAATAGATTTAGAAAGATAGATAATGAATATAATAATCTTTCAAAATGATGTCCGTTTCATGCTTCATTACGATCTTCAGACCAAGTGTCACTACTACTTTAGTGGGCTGTATATAGAACAGGTCGTAAGGTGGGTCACCAGGGCTTTAAGGGAAGTGGTGAAGAGGGAACCGGCCCTTCCCAATTAACTTTTTTTTAGGTTTAATGATGATGATTATTTATTATCATGACATAGATTACTTATTTATTGTGGCAGGAGATGTGTATAAGTATATATAAGGAGATGTGTATAAGTATATATAAGCTCGGTTTAAGTAGGTTAATCAACTTCATATTGCTTATTAATATCATATATTATTTACATTATTCGGACCATCGTCCGCATCTCTGTCGCCATATTTATTACAACGTTTCGGCCGCTGCACGCTCCGGCCTTCCTCAGGTGGCCGGAATATCGAACTGAACCCTTTATTTCGCTCACTGGACTAGAATGTTCTAGTTCCAAAGTCCCATGTTTAATGGATGTCAGTTATTGGTTATCTCCTGTTAATTTCCCTCTAAAAGTTCTCCACTGCCTTAACCGGGTATTGAACTCACACTCTTTGGGTCCTGTCACTGGATCTAACTAACGCCTTTATCCACGGTACCATGTGTCGTTAGTTAGATCCAGTGACAGGACCCAAAGAGTGTGAGTTCAATACCCGGTTAAGGCAGTGGAGAACTTTCAGAGGGAAATTAACAGGAGATAACTGATAACTGACATCCATTAAAACATGGCCCGTGGAACTAGAACAGTCTACCCTAGTGAGCGAAATAAAGAGTTCAGTTCGACATTCCAACCACCCGAAGAAGGCCGGAGCGTACAACGACCGAAACGTTGTAATTAAATATGACGACAAAGATGAGGACAATAATACGAATGATGTAAATAATGTACATAATACCTCATCTCAGAAATATAGACAGATATTAATATTATATTTGATATTTTTATGCATTTAAATTATTTATTTATTCAATTCAATTCATACGCAAGGGTCACTGAGGTGGAGGAAACAGAAAAGGACAATAAAAGAAAAAGATTCGAGGAGACCGAAAATGGTAGTTGACGTTGCATTTAAATTGTTGAAGAGCTTAGTTAAGAGGAAATCAAAAAGGCAGTAGAGATTTTCATAGACGAATAGTGCGAAAGAACAAACGATTAACATAGAACTTAGGCTTACATCTAATCATTTCAACAGTAAACTAGTACTTAAATTCGTGTGGCCGAGATACCTAAGGTCAAAGCTCATCAGAACACTTATTCAGAAAATATTTATAAACAAGGCAAAGAATCTACGTTATGGCGGTAGGAAAGTGACAAGAATTTCTGTTTTTTTTTTTTTTTTTTTTTTAATCTTAGTGACAATCAAATAAATGATCCGGAGAATATACTTTAAGATAAAGTCGCGTTGTAATATTAGCAATAGACTAAGGTTAAATAAAAGATCATTCTTATTTGAAAGAAAAATAACGGTAGGTGGAGACATTGCGTCAAAAAGAAAGATGATAGCACTCGGCGAAATAATTCTTTGCTCAAATTAAAATTGATATTCGTTTGGCGGTGCTAAAATTTGACCCAAATCACAAATAGTTGTCACTACCAACGGCTTGTGAGAACATGTCTCTGGCATTGCATTATAAAATGTGCTTTTTGAATTGGCATAAATGGCCGATAACATAGCCTGCAAACATTTCTCAAAATTCTTTTTACTAGTTCCTGTTTCCTGATGGTATTTGTTAGTACTTTATTGACACTATCCAGCACATGGAACGGATAGTTTTCATTTAACACGCTTTTTACATTGTAACTTTCCCTTTGGTCAACTTGTATTTGTTCGGTATCTGGAAACTTGCAATTCAAATGATTAAATCAGGATTAAAAATCTAAATAATCTTAAATTCTAACAACATTTTGATTTGTAATGAAAACTTTAAAACAAATTACGACTGAAAAAAGAACAGAGATATAAATATGAATGAATCGTCAATTGAATTTTTTTTCGAAATATTACTTGCTAAATGATTGGTGCGTATTATACAATATTGCATCTTAAATGGCGACAAATACAGCGAATATTATCAGCTGCTATTTATTCCAGCGTTTTGTAACCGGTCTCTAGAAATGAGACATTTTCTTTCTTCATTCCCTTAACAAGAAAAAACGATTTTTTCCAATTTCATCTGTTTTCATGGAAAAGAAACTGTAATTATCTTTCCACTCGATTGACGTTCATCGTCGCGGAAAGCGTAAAATCATGTTTGTGCTTTTACTTTTATCGAACTTACTTTCTTTTTTAAGAAACGATAAGCAAACATCGTATATAATCACTCAGCATAATCTTCTTTTTCTTTTTCCTTCCCTTTTATTTTTCCTTTATTCTCCTCCTCTTTCTTTTTCTCCTCCTTTTTTCCTTTTCTTCTTCTTCTTCTTCTTCTTCTTCTTCTTCATTAGCGTTGACGTTACTAATAACGTTTACTCTATAAAAAAACGTTAGCATCTATTCGATTTGGACACGCGAATCTCATTGTCAGTGAACAAATGTCTTGTTAATAGAGAAAGTGTCAGCAGCATTCAGTTTCTCTTTTTACCAATGGAATTCATTACAGCAGGTAATTAATCACCTCATTGTCATTAACTCTTTAAAACCAGGACAAATGACAGGCGGAAATGCTTTTTTATCATTAGCTCTATTCAGCAATAATATTTCTCCTATTCGGATTATTCTAGAAAGCGACCAAGCTTAAAATCTAAGTAAAAGTCTTAGAAACTAAAGCACATTATTACGAGATTACCTAAAAAAGATGTCAATTTTTATTCATTTTTTTTTATAATTCTTCCCTTGTACTGAAAATGTATAAACCATATTCATCGCGTTAACAATAATCTATAAATTACTTGAGTTCATTCTTAGAACTCATTCAAGAGTAGGAAAGATTAGCAGCTTGTAAAGTATTCACTAAGTCAGTAAACCTAATAATGACGACCAAATTGATTTCTAAAAATGAAAAAAAGCAGCCTTCATAAAGAAAAGAACGTAAAAATCAGGGTTCTTGAAAATTCTGATTTTTTTTCGACTGCTTACCTAATTACTTATTTCTATTAATCTTTTTTTTTTCCTTTTTTATGAGGAATTCACGTTTTTTCATATCAGCCAAGCAAGGCAATGTAGCCATTAAAACACAAGGATGGGGTTACTGAGTTTGAAAGAAATTGAGAAAACTTTATAATAAAAGACCAGGATTCAAAGAGACAGAAAATGACGATTTATAAGTTTTGAAAACTGCAGTTGACAGGAAAGCAAGAAATCAAAAGATAAGTGTGAGAGAAGAAACTCTTAGCATAGAACCTACGGTTACATCTAGCAATTTTAACTGTAAAATGATGAGACCTAGCTGCCAATCTAGGAAGATCCTTTGAACAATTTCTATTGAAATATTTATAGAAAAGGAACAGGAAAGCTATATGAAGACGACGGAAGAAGTCGACATGCTATGTCAGGACCAATAACGTCGCAAAGCTTTCTTTGTATTTTGTCACAGAAGCACCAGACTAGATGTGGCATCAAAGAATCAAGTCAGAGTCTAACATACTTGTAAATTTGAAATTGCAAAGAATATAAAAGCAAACAACTTTCTTTTAAGTATAGACTAGATATACACGTATTTCTCCTTACCATATGGTCTCAGGATTGAGAAATTTAGATCAATCACTTACTATAGACTAAAACATTTATATTTTTGAATATATGGAAGAAAATGATGAGTCGAAGGATAAAATTGTTCAATTGGTTCTATTAAACACAGAATTAATTTTTCCGTGTCCCTCCCTCTCTAGGTATTCCATCTCTACTTTCTGATCTTACCGTATGCAGGGCTTCCATATCTTTCTCCTGTCAA